ATAAGCATGTATCCTAGACATGGTTTCAAACATGGATCACAACTCAATAGCTCTAGTACGTAGAGATTTTATAGTTGTAGATAAGATCAGGCAACTACACAATACCACGAAAATAGCGGAGTCACAATTCACACGGTGCACGCCCATACGCCCGTCACCTAGCAAGTGCGTCACCTCAACACCAAACACATAACACGTATATTCAGGGTTCATACCCTCAGCACAAAGTTTAGAAGTGTTACTTACCTCGAACAAGCCAAATCCAATACCGAGCAAGCCAAACGATGCTCCAAAGATGCCATCACGCGCGTATCGACCTCCGAAAGGCTCGAAAGTAGCAAAAAATAACTCAAATACATCAAATAATGCCAAAGGAAACAAACCCAATCGATAAAGGTCGAATCTTTAATCAAAATCCCAAAATCGATCAAAATGTCAAACCTGGGTCCGCGCCTCAGAACCCGACAAAACTCCTAAAATCCGATAATTCATTCAATTAAGAGTCCAACCATACTAGTTTCACCCAAATCCGACTCCGAATGGATGTTCAAAACTCAAAAATTCACTCTATGAAACTTTGGACAAAACCTCCCAATTTTCTCTTTAAAATTCACAATCCAATTATCAAAAATGAAGATAGATTTACGAAATATAACCAAAACCGAGTAGAGAGCACTTACCCCAATTTATATGGTGAAAATCGCCTAAAGAATTGCCCAAATCCGAGCTCCCCAACTCAAAATATAACCAAATGAACAAACCCTCGATATTAAATATTTTTGCCCAGACGTTCTGCCTCGTTTCGTGTGTCAAACGATCCCGAAACTCGCTTTTGATGTCTCCAATGAATTTTTTGTGAAATTTGAGTCAAGTTAGGCTTTTGAATCACTCAATTGGACCATATAATGAAGAGATATGTTGGTTTCAATATTTGAAAATAATGCAGATTTTTAAATACGATGTCAGTGGCAATTTTGTAATTAATATAAAAAAAATCTGGCAACCCAATTCTTCGTAAAATGGCCATAAACTCCTCATACGATGTCCAGATACGACGATTCTTTTTGATATGGCTCCGTAATTACAATACGGATTTAATGATTCAATAAAATCACAAATTGGAGCTCATTTGCTTAATGTGGTATAATTTATGCTTGAAGAAACGACGTCGAAACATAAAAAAGGAGCGCAACACAACCCAAACCTATGCGAAACTCACCCGAGCCTCTCGGGATCCCGTCCGAACATACAAAAAAGTCCCAAACATAACACGGACCTACTCGAGACCTCAAATCACGGATAACAACATCGAAACGATGAATCACACCTCAAATCAAACTTAATGAACTTTTCGACTTCCAAAAACTCGCGCCGTAACATATTAAATCAACTCGGAATGAACTCAAATTTTTCACACAAGTCCCAAATGAAATAACGAATCTATTCCAATTCTTGGAACCTCAATCCGAATCTGATATCCTCAAAGTCAACTTCCGGTCAAACTTATGAACTTTCCAAACCTTCAAATTTCTAACTTTCGCCAATTAATGTCGAATCCTTCTAGAAATGTCCAATTGAAAATTCGGGAATACGCTCGAGTTTCAAAATCACCATCCGTACCTAACAGAACCATCAAAACTCCGTTCCGCGGTCAACTTCACAAAAGTCAAACTTGGTCAGCTCTTCCAACTTAAAGCTTCAACAATGAAATTCGTTCTTCCAAATCGATTCCGTATAACCTAAAAACCAAAACCGACGATTCACACAAGTCATAATACATCATGCGGAGATACTCATTCCCTCAAACTATGGAGCGGACTGCAAACGCTCAAAACTACCGGTCGGGTCGTTACATCCTCCCCCGCTTTAATATACGTTCGTCCTCGAACGTGACAAGAGTCGTTCCAAATCCATCAAATTGCGATGTAACCTATCCATGCACAATACTCGGGGGTGATCCCACATCACCCTAATCCATATAAGCCTGACGACACAACCTAACTGAAGATCCTTAATTCAACCTTAGCCCATAAACCTTGGAATCCAATTTTCCAACATCCGGAATTTCCTAGAAGACCCAAATCTCGCATCTATACACCATATAAGTCTGAATAAACTGCATCGAGCCTTAACCGTAACCCAAGATAGAATCACGTAATATACCACATAACTCAAATACTCATAGCAATAATTTCTAATCACCGTAGCTGCTTAAAAATAAATCGGTACTGGTAATAAACCTGATATCAAACAAAACCTCGGTCTAAAATCTTCGTACACAACAGATGATGAAAGAAGCACACAGAAACTCATAACCATTCATCAGATCAACAAGTCATGGAGCTCCTTCTCGTTCGACAAGAACTATAGCCAATTTCTAAGCCGACTTCCGATATTATTCTTCCAAATATACCACAATCAGATCTGATAGCATCCATTCTAGGTCAGAGGACATCATCTTATCAAATACAACCGCCCTACTGACATGCCACACTAGTACAACCTTAAGCCACAACCCGTGCAATCCGTGCACCAATACACAACAATTCAAGTGTACTCAAGCATAGAAAATGACTCGTATGAGAGAACTGTCCCGTAAGCTCAACAAGTACCAGCACAACGCAATGCTAAGAACCCATCATATACCGTAGAACCAAAACACACGAATCAATCACAAAGGATCATATCCCGACATACCCAGCTGCAATGCGTGACCCCATCCAAACACTGGTCCATATTAAATACCTCCAGTCAAAATGCTCAAAACCAATGGCCACATGCAATTCGACATCCAGTACCCAAGGTGCATGACCATAACCACGGAGGAAGCAATAACACATTACCACATACCAGGAAAGAACATCACCAAATGCGCAATCAGTCATTCAATATCCTAATACCCATCTCGCTCAAATTCCTCTATAAGGCCCAAATAGAACCGCACCATGTGTGCATATAACCAACGGATCACAACCCCTCATAGCATAGAAGGGTAACTCATAGAATATATCAGAACACGAATAAGCTCAACTCTAACTGAATGTCACATCCCTCAACAACAGCAGTACGGAGTCAATGAATCCGATCCAGTGTAGAATACACATCATCATTGGGCCTACCAATGGACCCCAGATCAACTCTGGTCACCTACAAATAGATAACTAACCCTCCGAAATTCCACAATGACCTAACCATAACACATACCATCCTCTGGCTAGCTTTGACCATATTTTCACAGTCCACAACAATAAAACGATCTACTCTTGAGAACTCTCGTTCTCCAAATCCATAGAACACATGAACCACCATATCTGATCCGAACTCCACCGCCCGAATGACTAACACATCTCTCATACATAATCACCCCCCGAGAAATACTTCTATAATTCTTCCATGCCACATAGCAAAATCTGAACATCAGCAGTCGATCAACCAGGAGAGTACCGCAATAACCATGAAGCATCCGTAAGTCAAAACTTAGTGCGCCTTCTGAATATACATTCTCCTCAGGCAATACCAAGTAGTAATATCCTTCATCTAGTCATCTGGAACCGTCTACGTTGCCTAAGAATTCATGATCTTCCCTTCAAAACTGAATCGTGACCTTGCACATGCAAATCTCAGTCCCCTACAACACACCGCATCTATCATGTCATCATAGGAAAAGTACAAGAATCTCATAATCAGCTCTGATACCAACTTGTCATGACCCAAAATCCAACTAGTCGTGATGGTATCTAACCCAACCTGCTAGGTAAGCCAATTAACAACTATCCAAATTAATGAGATTTATCAAGAAAAGAAGTGATAATACAATTGCTTTTATACAAGAATTTCCCAAGGACTGGTAGTACAAATCATGAGCTTCTAAGATTTAAAGTTTATAAAGCTAGTGTAAAATAAATACATTATCTGTCCGAATTATACATAAACAGATTTTTCATAAGTCTAGAGCTACCATGAACAAGAGGCAGCTATAACCGGAATGCAAGTATGCTTTCAATGCTAGCTCCCGCCATACACAACAACGTCAACATCATAATCTGCACGCAAGGTGCAAAAGTGTAGTATGAGTAAAACTCGTTTCCGGGTTCAACTTCACAAATGTCAAACTTGGTCAACTCTTCCAACTTAAAGCTTTAACAATAAAATTTATTCTTCCAAATCGATTCCGAATAACCTGAAAACCAAAATCGACGATTCACACTAATCATAATGCATCATGCGGAGATACTCGTGCCCTCAAACTACAGAGCGAACTGCAAACGCTCAAAATGACCGATCCGTTCGTTACATTGAGGTACCATGAGCGAAACAAATGAAGGTACAAATGAGATATTATGAGTGAAATAACCCAAACTTCAGACAAAGTTGTTCGAAGTTGCTTTTTTCAAGCCAAAACTTAAAACTTTAGACAAAAATAATATGCCAAACTTTAGATAATTTATCTGAATTTTGGCTTACGTCAGACCCGTTTTTATGTCTTAAGTTTGTAAATTCTGACACAGTTTTTTACAACTTTAGACTCACTAGTCTAATGTTAATTCTAAAATGAATAAACTTATAAATTTGTATGCAATGCAAGTATAACTTCAATGGTAACCGCAAAATTAAGTATGCATACACTTGTCCATCTATATGAAGGTCCAATTACAAGTAGCCAAAGTTTTGATCAAATGAAAAACAAGTCTATATTCCTAATTGTTTTAGGTCCATGCCCATATATTATTTAGATTTGAAAATTGCTAAGATCGTTACATATATGTTGGGATAAGATGCTTTGAACCCGAAAAGTGTAAACCATCACAAATTCCTTCTTCTACTACTGATCTCCTCCTATATTTCAAAGTCCTCAAATTAAAGGCCTATATATATCAGTTAAAAATGGTTGATATTCTACTCTTCCCTCCAATCCTTGCGTTAAACGCCACATTTTCTTTCCTGTGCTAATATTCTCTTATCCATTACACTCGATCCAATCAACATTAGCTAACCTCTTCTTCACTTGAGAAAAAAACACACTTGGAATTATTCCACTTTCCATTTTCATTTTTCCATATGCTTCTGTCCTTCTCACTGATTTAGAAAACAAGGGGAGAGGGAAAAAAATCGTTGTTCTAGTCATGGATTTCTCAAAGAATATTGAAAACCAACAAAAAACTGTCATGGGTTACCCTTCGATGGCTAGACACAACGAAATTTCTCATAAACAAGCTGCAATATTCCCTTCAACATATGATAATAATAGTATTAATGTTCTTCATCCTCCTAGTTATATAATGCCAGCTCAAGGATATCCTAGTAATTATAACCCTAATTCATACCCTTTAGGCGCCGATGCTGCATACTATGTGAATTATTCCCAAAAATACACGCCGTTGCAAGAAGAAAACAATAGTAGGGCATCATTTGGTCGTTATATGACTAGCATGATGCTAATCTTGATTATTGGAATGATCATGTTTAGTTTAGTCATTTGGCTTTTATTTGGCACGGAGAAGCCTGAATTTCATCTAGTATCGATGGAAGTTCCTAGTCTTATGATTACTAGCACCTCAATATTAGGTAATTGGCAGGTCAATGTGTCCATGAAAAATTCGAATAAAGACTTAGATATTAAATTGAATACTGGAAATACTGCCATTATATACAAGACGAATGTTTTGGCTGAGACAGCTGTTGATCCTTTCAAATTGGCGTCACAAAGTTCGGCTATATTGTTTTCAAATTTGACAACGTCAGCTGGAACTTTCTTGGATAAAGGAATTTTAGCAGAAGCTACGGGGGAGAGAAATAATGGAGTTTTGAAATTTACACTGCAGATTTATTTAGGGATTCAATATACTTCAAACACTGAATCGAAAACTGAGAGACTGCGAATTTATTGCAATGATGTGAAAGTTCAGTTTGGGCATGGACCTCAAGATAAAGGGGAGTTGACCAAAGCTGATCCTATTGATTGTCTCATTAACACATAAACAATTTTCGTAAGTGATATTCTCCTTTTAATTTTCTACAGTTATATATATATATATATATATATATATATATATATATATATATATATAAATATATAAAATTCAGTTAAAAAGGCATTGACACCTAGCCCTACTTTCAAATTCATTCAAATAAGGTTTCCAACCAAATAAAATTATTAGGAGGATGAGTAATTATGTAAGAACTAAGTTGTTTTATATGTGTAAGCTTAAGTATCATTAAAAGTCACTAGGAGAAAATAAAGGGACATTTTATACGATATTTGCCAAAGTTTAGTGACTTGTTGATTACAAATAATTTAATACGTTACACAAGCAACGTTGCATGACTTTTTTTGTTAAGAATAATAATTTAGTAACCTTAATGAAATAAAATGAAAGTTAGGTGATTTGTTTTTAATGTGTTTCTTGTATACTCCTGCGTGTACTAGTATTAATTCAAATCTTTCTGATGGCAAAGGTACATTCACTTTAGGGGAATGGAGTTGCGTTTCTGGCAGCTCAAGGAAATAGGCTGCACCATTTGGATTTTCAGAACAGGCTGATGCTTGAAGTGGACTGATGCTGGTGTTAACATCAGTATTTTTTTTTCGTTTTTTTTGTTTTTTCTTGTGTGCGTATAGTAACCTCATGTTAAATATTGGTTCCTATTCGGGATAAATGTAAGTATAGTGATTATAGGCAGGTGTGAGAGAGTGTTAGTATTTGATCCCACCTGCTTTCTCCCGTGGTAGATCGGCACAACTCACTAGACGTTTGTATATGAGTAATTTGATTTATAAAAATTTTCTGTAGTAGAGTGTACTTCAAATTTAAGGCAATTCATTGATCTACAAAAAAGCTTGACACCCTAAGTTGCCTTTACGAATTAACGATTTATTCTTTAACCACAGAAATCTCTACAATTCCTCCTTCATCACTGTGCTAGCTATTTCACAATTCGAAAAATACTAAACTATCACATTGACAATTACTATATTTTATGGAACGGTCAAAATTAAGATAATAGCTTAGGATGACAAGCGGTGCGGTGCGGTTGGGGCAAACCCGCATAAACCCGTGAAGATCTCGCCCCGCCCCGCTGTAACTAGAAGTTTCAAAGTTTTCTTGAAAATTTCATTTGATTTGGTGTTCAATTGGTAGTTTTAGGTGTTATTTTGGCGATTTGATCGCGCGAGAAAGTTCGTATGATGTTTTTATACTGGTGTGCATGTTTGGTTTGGAGCCCCGAGGGCTCGGGTGAGTTTCGGATAGGCTATATAGTGAAATTTGGACTTAGAAATGTTGCTGGTGTTCAGTTCTGGTGCAGGCCTCTGATCTCGCATTTTCGCATTTGCAAAGAGTAGCTGGGAAGGCCAGAGTTCGCATTTGTGAACAAAGCTTCGCATTTGCAAAGTGGGACAGGGGGAGGCAGTGATCGCAAATGCGATCAAATGGTCGGATTTGCGGAGATCATTGTTCGCAATTGCGAACTATTCTTCGCATTTGCGAAGAAAACAGAAATGTGGAGAGCTTCGCATTTGCGATGGTTTTTTCGCATTTGCGGGGTTCGCCAAGTAACAAATGCGACATTTGCAGCTGATCAAAATGGGAGTTAGACGGAATTTTGGGTTCATTCTTCAAATTTTCAAACCTAGAAACCCTAGAGGCGATTTTTCAAAGAACTTTTCTTCCCCAAATCATTGATAAGTGATTCTAAACTAGTTTCTTTCAATCTTTCACTATATTTCCTAAGATTTCAACCAAAAATCTTGTGTTTCATGGTGAAAATTGGGGGTTTGGATATAAATAAGTTTTTTTGTAAAATTGGGATTTAGACCTCAAATTGAGATCGTATTTCAAAACAAATTATATAATCGGGCTCGGGGGTGAATGGGTAATTGGGTTTTGGTCCGAATTTCGGGTTTGGACCAAGCGGGCCCGGGTGTTGTCTTTTTCAATAATGACCTAAATTGAATTCTTTGCAATCGTGGGTAGTTCCTACGGCTTAATTTCAATCGTTTGGCTGGTAATTTGCTAGACTCTATTAGTTTGGAGGCTTGTGTGAGAGGTAAAGTTGTGGTTGAGCGTTGAGTTTGATCTTTGGAGCGAGGTAAGTATCGTGGTTAACCATGACTTGAGGGAATATGACTTATTTGTCTATTTGCTACGTGTTTAGATGTTGGGTACAACGTATATGTGAGGTGACGAGTAGTTATGCGTTGTTGTCGGGTTAAAGCATGCATGTGAGACTTGTTTCTTGCAATTAATGCTTACTTTAATCATATTATCCATGCTTAGACTAGTTATTTATTAAATTGATCGTTCTTGTCGTGTTTACGGGTTTTGGTGATAATTGAGTGCATCCCATATCTGCTTCGCATTAGAGCACACAGAAATTTTATTGTACTCATCAGAATCAAGTCCACAGATAAGAATTTTCTTAGCCTTTGCATTCCTCTCCATCATTCTATAATTTGCTGCCAGAAATTAGGAGGGGTCCTTAGGAATTATTTCATTTTGTGCATTTTTTTAGTAGGAATCAAAGGACCTTGGTTCACTATGGTCCATAGTTCATAGTCTTCAGCTATTAGGAAGTCTTCTATTCTTGCTTTCCACCAACCGTAATATTTTCTATTGAACAAGGGTGGCCTGGTAGTTGATTGTCCTTCATTAATTCCAGATGGAGCACTCATCTCGCTTCCAAGATCTCTATAGGTGTTAGCTGTGTAAGTGAGAGAGCCTGCTCTGATACCAATTGTTAGTTTGTGTGCCCGTATGAATTACTAACGAACTTGGTTCTTTACCGTGTTCCTTAAGAGTAAAGTGAATAAGCAATAAAATGAATACATCAATTTTGAAGGAACAAAAAACCACAACCTACCATGTAGGATGTTCAACTCCAACTCCAATAGAACAATGAGCTAAAATGTATCAATTACAAGACTGTAACTAAATACTCTCCAGTACTCCTACTACTCCTATTTGATTCACAAGTTACTCTAATTTGTAAAGCAAAATACTTACTCCAACTCACTAATTGTTTATGACACTTGATTACAACTCAATTCCCTAAAATACATTCACCAGACTAACTCAGGATGGATACAATGCAAGTACTCGACTCGAGTAAATAACTTATGACTCAGTTGTTGATGTGTAAAAAGATAGTTTTGAAGTCTAAAGTCGATCATATTTAAACACTTCAACTTGAGATCTTCTAGGAGTCCTATTCATAGTCAGCTTCCTCTTTGATATGACTCTACTGTTCCAAGGATTGCACACGCTTTGACACTTTTATCTCCGACTGAAATATCCGTATCTTCTTGAGAAACGACCCTTATCACTTATAGCAGTCTTGTTTCACCAAACTCAGACCTGGGTAACTTTGAGATAAAGTTACTGTCTTCTGCCGAAGTACAAGTATCAACATGAGGAACTGATCCTTTCTCCTGAAGACCTGGTTCTTCAGAACAATTAAGCAGCTACATTGAGGACATGATTCTTTGAATACTTAATCCTACTTCGTTAATCATCAAAACTTCAATACTCAACAAACTACTATACATACGCAATGCAATGTTTGATTTCCACTGTTAATTGCCCCTCCATGAGTGATACCGTCACACTTATTTAGGAATTTATGTTTTATTTTAAACATGGATAATAGTATTTAATGAAAGACCAGTGCCTTCATTAAAATGTAAAATTTCTGTCCTACAATCACTATTATCATTAGCATGTAAGAGTACCTACACTTTTCTAACCACAATTTGTATATTATCATTTACCGTGTAACGATCACTCTATTGTGATCCCTGAAAATTTAACGAACCCTGCATTATTTATGCAGAAATTCCACTTCTTATCATTTGAAATAAGAATACGTGTATTAATTGGATAATTGTATCTAATTAAAGACGATGAGTACCTTTAAAAATATACAATTTATGCTTAACAATTTTTAATCATAATCTCTATTTCTTGAATAATAAAATGTGTCACTTGCTGTAAACCTTAATCCTCACAAATTATAAACGAAGTATGCTTTGATACAAAGTAGCCGCGTGCTGGATTATATATCCAACATCTATACTAGGACTATTCTAAATGTCAATATTTTTTCTTCTTATAATATAATTTTAACTAGAAATATAATTTCGGGTTCACTAATTCCATGTGTACTACACATCAATTTTAGCCAGTAGATCTGTTTGTCGTTTGACTTAACATAAAGTTTTCTGTCTCTTTTCTGAATTCTGATCCCTAATTTCTTCTCTTTCTTTCATAGATGAGAGAAGACAAAGTAGGGTAGAGGGAGGATGAATATGGCAAATCATAAAAAGGAAGAAGTAAAACCAGTTTTGGGTTATCAAAGATCAGAAAATTTCTACCAAACAGATCATAATAATTATCAGCAATTTCATCATGCAGGATATGCTCAACCCTGTCCTGGTTATCCTGCTAATCCAAATGAAGCACAACCCTTTCATTATTATGATTATAATCAACAACCCAATAATAATTATCCAGCTAGACCTTTGCCTTATGTATCCCCTGAAGTTAGCCAAGGATTCTCTTTCGCCCGTGTAATGCTCTGCCTAATGGTTTTTTTAATCTTGTTTGCATCTCTTATGAGCATGGTTGCATGGTCAGTATTTTCATCAGAGTGGCCAACAATTAAGGTGGAATCATTCGTTGTTCGTTCCTTTGAGATTTCCAACGGATCGTTGCTGAAAGCAAATTTGGAAACCAAAGTATCCGTGAAAAATACAAATCATCGATCATCGATCGTGATACTGCAAGCAGAGACTACGTTGGTATACAAGTACGTTGTTCTTGACACGACTTCATCGGTTGATCATTTGGAAATAGCCAAAGAGAGTAGCGTCATGTTGCTTGACGCTTTTGCATTTCCCAATTCTAAACGGAGCTTCACCGGGGATTCGGTGCTCAATGAAATGGCTAAAGATCAAGGAAGAGGCCACATTCTCTTTGGTTTGAAAATTGATGTTCAAGTCATGTTTAAGTCCGGGGTTTGTTCCAAGAGAAACAAGATCCGTGTGTATTGTGAAAAGATTAAATTGAATTTCCAAAATGGTTCCACGATTCCAGCGTGGGATGGTTCTAAAACTGAATGCATAAATGGTTGAATCAAGTTTTGTCATCTTTTTTTCTTTTTGATGTAACACAGTATGATAAATAAAGTTAAATTTTTTTTACCAGTAAGAGCATAGGTATAAATCGAGTTAAAATAGTATATATTAAGTTATTAATTCCTTCTCAAGCTACATAATGGCTTTGCCAAGTCCAAGGGAATTGATGGAGATTGCACAAAATATGTGTGGATGAATCAACTTATTTTCTTTTTTGTTAAATTCATTTGTGTTAGATATCAGTGTTCACAATCCGAAAATTAGAAAAAAAAATTTAGATGAACAAAACAGAAACAGAAAAGTTTCGAGCCCGACAAAAAATTGTGTTTTCTTAAGGAATTTAATCCCTTCACTATTACCCAAGTTTGTTGGACTAATTCTTCTCAAGATAGAATGAAACAACTATATTATAATACATGCAATAAGAATGCAGAATTTCAACGAACTCAACTGAACACTTAAGTTTTTGTTTTTAAAACTATGCAAAAATGCACAGAAGAGATGAGAGAATGTATGCAGATTTGCTAGTTTTTAGTGTCTGAAAATCCGTTGTATTTATAGCCAACGAATTTGGGTCTTAACTTGTGCAAAGGTACCTGTTCGGAAATAAGTGCATGTTTGGTAAAAATGTTCAAATTTTTTTTGTTAAGGACTGTTTGAGAAATTTGC